AGCGACTCCAATACAATACCACCATCCGAAACTAGAGAAAGTAAACACCGACAAGAGCATGTTCTGAAGGCAGGAGAAAAATGGGGGTAGTAGGAGGACATTGATAAATAGGAAGTATCGTTTATGGAACACAGAAGCCTTTAAAGAATGCATTTGATGTGACAAAAAGGAAACCACCCTCCGAAACTAGAGAAAGTAAGGATGGGGTTTAGTCGACGGAACCACAGGTCACTAGAAAGGCAGCCAAGAAGTAATAGAAATCGAAGCCTGCTGAACCCTCGAAACTGACTCAGCCAAGCCCATCAGTTAACCCGTGAGTTTTTCGGTCATAACACCCTAAAGGAATGGGGATTATTTCAAAAAAGAAAAATCGGTCATAATCCCCGTAAATAGGATTACGGCAAAGTAATTTGTTTGTAAGGGAAATACCCGGTTACCCGTTATTCGATACGAAAATTCGTATACAAAATACTATAAAAACTTCAGGTCAATCCGAGCATAGCCCCTAATGTTCCAAACATAGCCCCTATTGTTCCAAACATAGCCCCCAATGTTCGGACAAAATACCCACCGCAAAAGGTCATACTCCCATGAGGAAGTGTGCATAATTCCCACTTTATTATGGGGTTATAACCAAAAAAAGGAACATAATCCCCATAATTGGAGATTATATATAATTTTAAATGGTACTAACTTTGGGCATCCAAAATATAATCCATTTTGGAAGACTTGAAATTAAATGACGTTAGAATCCAATGTTTTTGGTACCTAAAAGGAGAAAATGATACCTTTGGTACAAAACACCAACGGTTGGAATTATCCAAATGTTGATCAAGTGAATACATTTTGCATTTTCAAATAGGTGAAATTAAGTCTTTTTTGAGGTAGAAGTGGAGGACAATTTAAACATGTTCCCCATTTCTAGTGCAAAGTGTCTTGTTGAAGTGCCATATTACTTTACTATATGTCTTATCCATTAGCAGTAAAAAATCATTGACATTTTAATTCCATATCTTAAATATCTAATTTGTGCAAAACTCAACAATATCATCATTACTTCACTTCTAAATTTTCTCCTCAACCACAGACCATAACCATACAGACAATGAAATGTGGTTTTAAGTATTTAACTTCCTCTACTATCCCATTGCGTTTTCAAAGACACTCAAATGGTTTAATGTTAAAATAAATCATTTTAGTGCAAATAGCTCTTGAATGTTTTATAACAGACTTCCGCTACTCGAATACCAGAAGTGAGCACTTTCCTTTTTTCTGGCTTTTGTCCATTTTATTTGGAGAATAGACTTAAGCTTTCAATTTCAAACAAATATGTAAATTTTAGCTTAAAGGGCATCCGACATTGCAATGCCAGCTACTTAAGTTAAAGCCACACTTGAACACCAAGAAATGTAGGAGGCCGTGACATAAAGGAGATAGAGATTGGAGTGTTGGTGAATTGAATGCAAAATTCTACAAATTAATTCCATGAATTTAAGTCTATGTCAGTCGAGCAATATCTATTGCTTTGAAAATAATTTCTGCAATATTTTCTCCGAAAAAAAGAACAGCCTAAAAAACTTTCTTCTAAAAACTAAATATTTGCTTTAAGTTTCAGAGAAACTAAAAGACATAAACGAAACGAAATACAATTTTTTGCAAAGGCGAGGAAACGTGTTTTTCTTTCTTATTCCTTCATTAATTTCTGGTACAGAAACTTTCAGTTTTGTTATTGTTGTTGTTGTTGTTTATTTAAAGAACGTTGTTTATTTAAAGAACGGAAACAGTAATAGTAAGCGCGAAATTTTTAAAAGTTCACTCTTTCGCTGAAAGCTAAGAAAAAAATTGCTAAAAATTGAAATGGATGTAAATCTTTAGTTCAAAAAGTCAAAGAGCAAGAGCGAAGAAATTGAAACCAATTATTGATAAACGTAATGCATCCAATTAAAGTTAAATGCAAATAAAGTTTTAAAGACTGAGATCTTTTTGTATATATAAGAAGAAAAATTAGGAAATTTTTTCCTTGGGTGTATGTATTTTTTATTGCTTTATTTCATGAGTATGTACTGCACATATTGTCTGTTGAATATTTATGTAAAAATCACATATGCCACGTTAAACACCCACATGTACATATATACACAAATGTTGCTGTTCTTTTGAAGCTTGATACATGATGCTTCAATTGCCACACAAATATAGCATTTTGCGTCGTAATAACAAACACATAAACACACCCCGAAAAAAGAATCCATGTCTACAAACGAAATCGTTTACATAATTCACAAAATGCACAACAGCGATTGTAACAGCAACAAATACTGTCGACAAAACTGAGTTAAAAATTAATAGCGTATAAAATAAATAAATAAAATTTATTAAATATCTAACAAATATAAATCTGTATTCGCTTGATAGGAATTTCAATATACGAGTAAACGGATTTTGTTTTTTGTTTACCTACTTGACGTTCACACATGAATGCACTTTTAATATGTGTTTATTTGGAAATATGTTATTAAATCATAATTTTCGGAAAACTGTTCACTAGCTGAATGGTTTGTTATAATTCTCTGCAGGTGCTACCTACAAATGCTAAATATTGTAATTGAAGTATATAAAAACGCATATTTCATACGATATACATTTTTAAGCAAAGCTGAGACTAAACATAATTATATTGTTATTCCTCTCAATTTCTTATCCTTTACACTTGAGATCAATTCGTCTAAGAGAAATCTAAAAGAAATTGGTGAATGAAAAGGAGATACAAGGAAGTTATATGATATTAGAGACAAAGTATATTTTATTATGGACGTGATGTCCCGACCAATCGCTCTTTTTTATAGCATTTAAAGTGAATAAACTATCGTTCAGTGGTCCCACTTGTATGGTACAAGGTTTGACAATATGTTTGTATGAAACTAACTGAACTGTTTTTTTTTTTTTTTTTTTTTTTTTTTAAAGCTTAATAATAAAAAATAATGTAACAAAAAAATTGTGAATATTGATCAGTGTTTAAGTATAATCCTCATATAATGGTACCCTCCAATCTAAAGAAATTTGAAGATTTTGTTAAAATGATTAATTAAAATGAACTGTAATTTGGCATTTGGTTTTCTTCCACAAAAATGTTAAAATGGGCCAACAATTTAATAAAGCTCCCATAGTACCCCGCCACCGATTTTAATTCTTTGAGCAGTTTTTACTACATTTTTTAATCGATTTTGCTGAGATTTAGCATTTTTATTTGGGATAGGATAACAAAATATTGTGTCAAAAATAGTAAATATTCATATGTTTTTAATATAGCATTTAGTGTTTTGAGTTCAATAAATACCTATTTGCCAATAATGCCAAAAAGTCCTACTTTTTGTTGTAGCTCCCATATAGAGGTACCCCGTATTTACCGTATTTTACAGGTTTAAGTGAGTGAGTGAGACCATTTTTTCCGTGATCGACCCATCTTTTTCAGCATTATGGAAAAATCAAGAGAGTGACAACGAATGCATGCAATACTACAAAAAATGTTGAAGATAAACTAATTTAAGAGTTTATTCCTGCTATACTTTAAAGTGAAATTTTGAATGTATCTTTCAGTGAAGAAATGTTTATAGTATCATTAAAAATAACATTCAATCTAAAAATCAACAAGTTAAAAAGCAGTAAGTGTGGCCGGGCCGAATTTAGAGATATCTCCACCATTGGGGAGGTTTGTAATCACATTAGGAACTTTAAATTCCAAGTTTGAAACTTTTTTTCGGTGAAAAGTTTGACACAAATCATCAAAGTACTAAAATCATCAAAAAACCTTTAATCTGTCTAAACAGTTATGTGGGGGCTATACCAAAACGTGGTCCTATATAGCACAATATCCAACGTCCTGCAGACCTAACAGACTTCGGAATATTTTTTTTTTTTTTTTGGTATTTGGACGATTTCGTAATTGGTATTTTTGTTCGCAAGGGCTTCTATCTTATTTTACAGACTATCGTTTTGCTATAGCCCCCATGTAACGGTACCTCTTTATATTTGGTATTCTGATGATTTACTAGCCCGTCCACAGAACTTTTATTTAAGGCCGACAAACAATTGCTATCCAGACAATCAAGTTTTTATTTCAGTTTATTCTCTATCACACCTGGGAGTAAGAGCTCATTTCACCTATTACCCTACTGTCAAAAATTTCTTTATTTTTCCAAAAAGAAAATTGTTTATTATACCCTCCTCCCCTAGTATGGAGGGTGTATAGCCCTCATATAACGGTACATCCCGATATTCGGTATTTTGATGATTTTAGCGACATTATTCACCGGAACTGTTCCAAATTAGGTGTTTGAAGTTCGTAATGGATTCTACAGCCTAAGACAAAAAATTGTCTGATATTCCAGATATTCGGTATTTTGACGATTTAACTACATTATTTACCAATTTATTTAAATTTCGCATTTGAAAATTGTAATGGATTACGACAAAATTTATCTATGCAGGTCCATGTCGTCGTATAGATCCTAATATAACAGCTACATTCGGTATTTTTAAGATTTTAACAGAATTTTGACTGAATTTATTGTTCGGGAACTGTCAAATTCGGCCCAAATGGTGGAGGGTATTCAATGTTCGGCCCGGCCGATTTTACAGCTTTTTTAATTGCTTTTTTCTGATTGTGCCCGTTAGTTTTGGAGGTGCCGTGACGGTGCCCGGATATAGTCCCCATTGCAATTATGTGACTTACGCGGTATGTAAAACAGACTTTTTCAAAAATGTAACACATTCAGATGAACTATAGCATCATCACAGAAATTATGCTTATTTTCTGTGTTACCAATATTTTCGTTTTCATTTTACAACTCAATTTATTATTCTTTTGTAAGCTGTGTTTTTAATTATCTTTTGTGTGTTTCTTCGTAATTACGCTTAACACAATATTACCTTCACTAAGAACAACATTTATTTTATTTATTTATTTATTTATTTATTTTTTTTTTTTTTTTGATTTTTAGATGCTTTGAAACTTCTACTTCAAGAGAACATTAAAATCAAGGGGAAGAATTAGAAAGCAGAAAAACGAACTGAGTATGCAATAAGAAAACAATAAATCACTTTTCTATAAAATTTAAATTTTGCAACAACAAAATACTACGGTTTCCCGAACAAACAAGCCATACTGTTCTATTAATAGACAAGGCACGGTCGACGAAGGGGTTTTTGTTGTAACAGACAAAACCAACTTACATGGTTATTCTACTTCGTTCAGGTTGAACGAAAGCATAACAAGTGGAGAAAGATGTAAATGTTTATAAGTGCCGTTGTAAGATTTAGAAGACTTTCCAAAAGAATTTTAGTTTTATTTAATTCTTTGGTTCCTCTTCTATTGTCATAGAAGTTATTTTTAAAATAACTTCTGGGGAGAATATCCCAGACAAAAAACAAGGGAACTGATGAGAATTGGTGGCTCTTTCCGAAACCTAGGTATTCCCTGCCTTACCCCTGGAAAACATTATCATCGTTCTCCACTAATAAACTAACGTTGTTTTTATAAAAACAACAAAAAAAGGGATAAGCCTGACCATTTTGCAACAACATAAAACATTTTTTATAACAGAGTGCCTCGTCAGCCATCAATGTACTTAGTAGACACCCTGATAAGTCTGACTGTTAATTATTATTTTTTTAATTTAAGCATTTAAAAGTCTTCGAAAAGGGTGGCAAATCTTAAATTTTCTAAACTTTTTGTGTACTAAGAAGAAAGGATACGCCAAGCTTAACATTTTTATACCCTACACCGCAAGGTGGTCAGGGTATTATGTCTTTGTGCATTTGTTTGTAACAGGCAAAAGGAAACGAGATAGACCCATAGTTTCTTTTGATGATCTGCATAGAATCACATTCTGAGTCGATTTATGCATGTCCGTCCTTCCGTCCGTCCGTCTGTCCATGTATTTTTGTAAACAAAGTACAGTTCGGCCCAAGGACGAACCCTATTGAAATTGGAGATAATCGGTCATTTTATTGTGTACCAAACGTGTAATATCAGGCCGAATAGTATGGAATTTAGTATGCCAAATTTTATCGAAATCGGTTCAGATATAGCTATTACGCCCATATATATTGTTCATCCGATTTGTTATTTTTGTCCTCCGCAGCCGTAGTATGCACTCTCTAACAACAATATTTTGGGAAATACATCAAATACAACTCAGAAATACACTTGCTAAATTTTATCGAGATCAGTTCACATTTGGATATAGCCCCCATATATAACTTCGTCCGATTTATCTCTTTTTGTGCACCAAACGTCTAATATTTATCCGAATGGGATGGAATTTGGCACTTACGACCGAATTGAGTCTAGAAGCTAGTATGTCAAATTTTATCGAGATCGGTTCAGATTTGGATATAGCTCCCATATATATCTTTATCCGATTTTAAGTTAATTGTGCACCAATGGGTAATACAAGTCCGAATTTAAAAGATACAAATGCTTCGGCATATTCAGTCATTTGAACTTTAAATTATAATCATAGCGTGTATGAACATTTAATTTTTATGCGGAGCTCTACTAAATTAGCAAAGTGGTGTAGGGTATCATAAAGTCGGCCCCGCCCGACTTTAAGACTTTCTTTACTGGTAAAAAAAGTATTTATTTTGTTGGTTTAAGAAAAAGCTATGCGTGAAATTATTAGGTAAAGTTATGAAGTAAATAACCTTTAAATTTTTAAGTATTTAATATTCATTTAATTTTTGCCAGGGAAATCGGTTAAAGATTGCCGAAAAAATCTTCAAAATACCGTTATATGGAGGCTGGGCCAAAACGAGAAATTACATACGCAAAATTCATAAACGGGTCTCCCGATTATTTCTTTTTGGAAAATGCTATTCTCAAAATTCTTTTCATAACCTGCACCTTGGAAAAGAGGGTACATTAAACCTATAACACCTATAAATATTCGTCATAGACCTCATAAAGTTTATATATTCATGATCAGAATAAAATTCTAAGTCGATTTAACGATGACCGCCTGTCTTTCTGTTTGTCTGTCTGCTGAAATCACGATACAGCCCACATTATTTGATGTAGAGGCGGTTGGTATTGAAGATGATATATCGGTCCACGTTTTGGGATAGCTGCCATATAATGGTCGCTCTCGATATTCGGTATTTTGAATGCTTAAGACACTTTTTTCACCAATATTTATAAAAATTTGTATTTGTAGTTCGTTATGGGATCAAGGTGCTTCGATGATTTTTGTACATTTTCCACGTATTTTTCTACAAAATGGTATTTGTTGTTTGTAATGGGTTATAGCTTCGGTGACAGAACATTTGCCATGTAGGTCGACGCTTTCGCATAGCCCCCATATAACTGTACCTCCGATATTCGTTATTTTGATTTGTCTAAAAATTGCAAATTGAGGTTATTAAAGTGTTCTAGATCCGGTGGCAGAACATTGAATATCAAGGTCCACGTTTCCTATAGCGCTTATACGATTTAAGCCACATTTTCTAATAGATTTGTGTGAAACTTGGTATTTACACTTCATAATGGGTTCTACAACCGGTGTCAAAACATTTTCCATATTAGACAACGGTTTTCATACAGCAGTTCGGTATTTTAAATTTGATATGTAGACCAATATTCGGTATTATGAAAAACCTAGTAACATTTTCCAACGAAATTATGTAAAATTTGATTTTTAAGACTAGCAATAGATTTCAAACTTTGTAGTATAAAATTGTCTATGTAGTTGTCCATAATGTCCGATCTTCTTGGAGTTTGTAGTTTAAAGTGGAACACGTTTGTACCCAGATACTTTTGTATAAAATGTTTTCTTTACCTAATGGCGGAGGATATTAGAAGTTCGGCCCGGCCGAAATCAGTGTGTTTTTCCTTGCTTATTTTAAATTACAATCCTTCCGTTTCATATTTGTAGTTTGAAATGAAACACTTTTGAATACAGATACTTTTATTAAAGAATGTTTTCATTTTCTATTGGTGGAGGGTATTTATAGTTTAGCCTGGCCGAACAAACTGTTTTAACTTTTTATACCCTTCACCATAGTATGTAAGGTATATTAACTTTGTCATTCCGTTTGTAACTCCTCGAAAAACTCATATCAGACCCAACAATCGATTTAGCGATGTCCATCTGTCTGTCTGTCCGTCTGTATTTTGTAATCACTCTAGCTTCCGAACGAGATAGAAGACTAAATTTTTGCACACATGTTTATTTTGCCAGTAGGCATGGGCCATGTTTTCATATTCGGCATTTTGATGATTTTAGCAACATTAATTACCGGAATTGTTACAAATTTGATATTTGAATTGCGAAATGGATACTACAGCCTAAGACAGAAAATTGTCTATGAGATGTCATATTTGAAGTTCGTAATGGATGCTACAGCCTAAGACAGAAAATTTTCTATGCAGGCCCAGGTCTTCGTATGGCACCGATAACCCCTTATATACGGTATTTTGATAATTTTAGCTACATTATTCAACGTTTATTTCAAGTTTCGAATTTGAATATGGTAATGGCTTATGACAAATAATGCATATATAGGTCCACGTCGTATAGACCCCAATATAACGGTTATATTCGGTATTTTTAAGATTTTAAGAGAATTTTTAACGGATTTTATTTTTTGAAAATTTCTAAATTCGTTCCGAATGGTGGAGGGTATTCAAAGTTCTACTTCTTTCTTGTTCAATTTGATATTTGAAACTCGCAATAGATAACACCAACTATTGCTGGAAACCGGTACGATTCAATTTACGGATATATATTATTGGCAAATGTTTACAATTTCATTGGCAAAAATGGAAGATGAATATTCAATCCCGATTGTCTTATTTTTAAACGTTTTTTGTACCCTATAGAGGAGGGTATTAAAAGTTCGGCCCGACCGAACTTAAGGCGCTGCTCCTTGTTTGGTTTCGGCCCGTTTTTGGGGTTTTAAATATATCGCTTCATTTTTAACCTCAGTGATGATACAAATTACTGTTTCTTATTTGATTGATTGTTCTTACTGCAGCAACAAGGCAAACTGCTACTAAAGACGTTTAGGATCCCACCACCATAACAGTTATAAACCATTTGCCTTAGGAATTTTTCCTAGGATTTGTCTGCAACATGGAGATGATGAAAAGTGCTATGATAACTTCTTCCCTTCAACTCCTTGCTATAAATTGTTCATCATTCAATTGTACAAGAAGTTTTCTGCCTTCTGTTTGTTCTTGGTTAGCAGTAAATATGGATGTACATGGAGGTAAAAGCCTTAAGGTTGCTTCATTGTCATAGTTGTTTGTAATGGCGTTATCTCTTTGTACTACTTTTATCATTGCTGTTATTGTTCCACAGCTGCATTCTCCTCGTTCTTTTCTAACAAAAAAATTTTAATTAATTAAATCATCACTTCTTTGAAATCTATTGGTTTGTTGCTTCCATGGAACATCTCATGATTTTGCAACATTTAGTTGTATTTCCGCTGCAAACTAAGACTGAGCGCAAACAAAGAGGGTGAGGCTATAACTCCTTACGTATTGGTATTTCGGCATTTTTTGCACATGTATTTGCTGAGTTTTTCAATAATGAAAAACAAAATGCTTAAAATGGCTACAACTCCTTGAATATTGACCTTTTGGCGTTAGTAGCATATTTTTTCTTTACTATTTAATAATTAAAATAACCTATTTTAAAATGGCTGTAAATTTCTTTAGTATTTCATTAAGAAAAATAGCAAATTTTATTGTGGTTTCAACTCCTTAAATATTGGATGTGTGAATTTAATGACCAATGCTGCGATTTAAAAATCGTAAACATGTGTCACAAGGGACACATAACATATGTTACTTCACTTCTTATTTCTTTTTTTCCGATATTCTTCTTCATTGGACTGGCTCTGGCTTACGAGTTGTTGGGTTTGTATATTTTCGTGCCCTCATTTGTATATTCATTAAAATGGATGGTGGGCGTATGATACATGTTTTCTTAAATTTTCCTCATTGCAAAAATGTGTCTCGTTAATTTCTTATCTACGCTGTTGCGAATGCGGATGATGTGGGCCAGCTGTCATAAGGACATTTTCCTTTCAATTCTTGTGGGGATCTTTTAATCCTT